CAGGCATAGGCGTTTCAATACCTCTTTCTATGAAGACTCACTGGACGAAAGTCTAGTTTATTTTGTATGTGACCCGTATTCTAGTTATAAAACGACATCTACAGAAGAGGCTTTAAAGATAAATGCAGTGTTATTTCTTGCATGACAGTCTTCATTGAATTTCTTACCCAGAAAGAAAAGAACAAATATCTTTAAACTTATAGTCACCTTGCTAAAGGTGTATAGACTAGGTAGTTTAGAAAACTTGAAGCCTAATCAATCTAGACTGCTTAAAGTAGTTTTCAAATCTTCGAATGAAAGGGACTTAATTTTACAGAATGGACATAAATTAAAGAGTTCGAGAGTTTTTATCCGAAAGGACTTGCCGTTGGCAGATCATGTAAAAGGACGGGAAGCCGAAAAAGAACTACAAATGAGGTTAGACGCTGGCGAAAAGGACCTGAAAATTGTAAATTTTCGGGTTGTGAGGCTTCGTCACAGAATGATGGCGAAGTCACTCTGGGTGAAACACAAAGCCACTTAAATAGGCTACGGATCTGTTACACTAATGCCCGAAGCTTGCTCAATAATCTATCGGAACTAGGTGAACAGATTGACTCATCATAGCCAGACATAATCGCAGTCACAGAAACCTGGCTGACAGTCTATAGATGATATGGAACTCTATTTTGGGGGTTTCACTTTAATAAGGACCGACAGAATACATAAGCACAAAGGAGGGGGAGTAGCTCTATTCATTAGGAATGCTATCCCATTTGTCATTATTGATAATGTATCCCATGAAAGTGGGACGTGTGAATTGGTTAGTTGCCGCTTGAAATTCAAGGGGCAAGAGCTGCTAATTGGTTTGGTCTATCGCAGTCCAAGCTGTGAGGTAAGTGATGTCCTGTTAAACAGGCTCAAAAATTGGTCGCGAAGTGGTCGATGTCTAATCCTAGGGGACTTTAATGCACCTATGGTAGACTGAGGAAATCTGCGAACCGAATCATCAGATAATTCCTTCGAGCAGGAACTAGTTGATGCGGTTATAACATGTGCCCTAGTGCAACATGTGAAAGAAGCGACTAGGTACGACCCAGACACTGAATCATCCTTACTAGATCTTATATTAAGTCACTATGAGGATGACGTTGCGAACCTCCTTTACATGCCACCCCTAGGTAAAAGTGATCATGCAGTTTTAACTTTTGACTTCCATATAACTGTCAATCACGAGCAAGCGTCAACTCAATCCAGACCTAAGGTCTGGATATCATGCACTCGACATCATTAGTAGATTGGACAATAGGCCCAGAGTCCTCAATTGAAACGGCTTGGGATGCATTCCGAGATTTACAGTTAAAAGTTACCGCACCCCACATTCCTTGGACTATACCAAGGGGGCCAAGAAACTCCCCACCATGGTTCAGTAGGGAGGTTCGCATCCTTTTCCGTAAGAGATAAAAATGTAGGAGAGATTTAGGTTACTGGGGACTGATTAGACAAAATCTCAGTACCGGAAAGCTAGGAATACCTGTGCCTCGACCCTCCGTAAGTCTAGAAAGCTGTACGAAGAAAAAATTGTTAAGGAATCCATAGAATGTCCTAAACGCCTGTATTCCTATATAAACCAAAGGACAAAAAGAAGAGGAATTATTCCTGCACTATGCGGAGACAGTACTGCCGCATCATTAGTAGAAGATGACTTTGGTAAGGCTCAAGTGTTCTCAAACTACTTCAGCAATGTATATACCATAGAAGCACCATTCCTGTCTGCGCATACAACCCCCCCCACACACACACACTGGATAGCGTGACTATTAATGAACTCGATGTCTTTGATCTGCTAAATAAGCTTGACATAGGTAAATCCATGAAGCCTGATGAATTGCATCCTAGGCTACTAAAGGAATTATCTAACTTCGTTGCGAACCCTTTAAGTATATGCTTTAAGCTATCCGTTATGCAGGGTCGTTTACCAAAAGACTAGAAGAACGCCATAGTAAGTCCTGTCTTCAAAACAGGTGCAAAACATAAACCTGAGAATTACCGACCCGTTAGCCTAACTAGTGTGGTTGTTAAAATCCTAGAAAAGATTATTCGGAAAGAGCTGTTTAAATACCTCGATGTAAACCGAATCCTCTCGGAGAAACAGCACGGTTTCAAAATAGGTTATTCTTGTCTCACTAACTTATTAGTCACTCGAGAAAGCTGGTGCGCTTTTAAGGGCCAAAAGTTACCTGTAGACGTGGCTTACGTTGATTTCAGCAAAGCTTTTGACAAGTTTCCGCACAGCCGGCTGTTATATAAGCTAAAAAATGTCGGAATTGGAGGCAATCTATTGACGTGGATAGAAGACTTCCTTGTTGGGCGCCAACAAAGAGTACGGGTAAACTCAAAATTATCTAGCTGGGAAACTGTGCTTAGTGGTGTGCCCCAGGGTACAGTTTTGGGGCCGGTGTTATTCCTCTTATATGTAAATGACCTTCCTCGCTTACTATCATCATCGGTCTTGCTATATGCTGACGATGTCAAGATATGGAGAACGATACGATGTAAGGGTGATAGCTTAGAACTCCAAAATGACCTGAAGAAATTATCCGAATGGTCTCATACATGGCAGCTGCTGATAAATACTTCCAAGTGTGTTGTGATGCATATCGGTCATCAAGGTACAGATACATACACGATGAATAACACTGAGCTACCTGTTGTCCAGACACATAATGACTTAGGAGTCATCGTTAGCCGAGATCTGAAGACTACTGCACACTGCCGTGCAATAGCTGCCAAAGCTTTTAGAACTTTATGGTCAATACGTAGGACTTTTACTCATGTCGACGCTCAAACGTTTTTGACTTTGTATACAGTGTTCGTACGTCCTAAACTTGAGTGCTGCATGCAAGAGGCTAGTCCCTGCTTAAAAAAAGACAGTGAGCTTTTGGAAAAGGTCCAGAGAACAGCAACTAAGCTGATTCCCGTAATAGCGAAGCTTCCGTATGATGCTCGACTGGCCAAGCTAAACCTATTCCGTTTTTCATATCGTAGAACTAGAGGCGACTTGATTACAGTTTCCAAATTACCTAGTGACAAATTTGAACCTGATATGCCCTCATTTTTCCTGTCTTCCAAAACAGAGAATTTACGAGGACACTCCAAAAAAGTTCACAAGCCCAGAACAAATTACTTGTCAGCTGATTATCGACTTTCCCACTGAATCATCAACGAGTGGAATTCATTACCCCAACACATGGTTGAAGCCCCATCCGTAGATTCTTTCAAAAGAAATTAGGATCAACTGAGAGAACACAATTGCCAGAACTAACACAAGTCATCAAGCCTCCTGTCCTTTCCAAACTGAAACTGAGCTGAGTTTCATTGGACATTAGTTTGAAACATCTATGATTTTTCCTCTCATTTGACAAGTAGATTTTGCTTATAAAAACATACTTCTCAAAGTGGATTTCATTTCAACATATAACTTTCACTTTATTTGCTTATTTAATCTGTCAACTTGAAATGAGCTGCAGTTCCTGTGCGTAGAAGATCTATATGCCGATAGCTTTAGGAGATTGAAAGAGCCTGCAATGTAAATCGAATTTTTATATGCAGTGTCGGCCCACTGAATGAATAGAAGAATGCTCGAAAATGTTTGATATTTCACTTTTATTGACCATTGAAAATTGTTGTTGCCCTCACTGTCAGAATATGGTTGCTTGTTTAGTTGTTTAATTAGACAGAAATCAGGCGTTCCACATATTGACTTGGGAATTGCGACCGGTTTGAAGTCTTACTTAAGTTTCGTCTGTTTTACTGTCTTGTTTCCACGCTTGTGTTACTGATAGTTGCTATCGATTGCTCTTCGTATTAAAAGTAAGTACATTTTGTGCTCTAAGTTGTCGCCTGACATTTGCCTTTATTCTCATTCCCAGCTGCCCTCACAATGCTTTACGCGCTTCCCTAGTACTTAAAGTACCTTCAGGCTAAACATCAACTGCTACACCGATGTTTATTTTTCAGAGAAATTCGTATTGTCAGTACTTCAAAGAAAATAAAGTCACAAATTGTTGCGTAAGACATTAGAACTGTTTTTTCTTCTAGTACTCGGTAACTTGCTGTACCAAACATTTTATTTCATCCATTTATCAATTTTTGGATACCATTAGTGTAGTCTATTGACGGGTTTAAATAAATACTTTCCACTTCAGTCAAGCACAACTCATTGTTAACTATCACAAAGAGTATATAGGTTGGTTGTCAGCCATCCGAATACATCTCAAAAGTAAAGTCGAAATGATTACTGACTTTGTTAGATACGGGTAGTTCTAAAAAATCTTAACAACAGTCTTACCTCATCAACATGTACAACACTTGGGTAAATATTGATATCCGAAAGATCGAATCATAACGGTTTATGATTAGTAGAAGCCTACTGTGTGTGTTCATTTGTGGAAGTGACACGACGGCCTTTTGCATAGATAAGAATGGGTATTCGGGGAGCTATCCCAAGGACTGTGAATATGAACAGTTTCTGGTTACCTTTACCTCCATAGCTGCCAAGGTGCATCATTGTCATTATTTTCGGGGACAAATATTATCAACCCATAATTGTGAAGCCTAAAAAGATCATTACTGAGACTACATTTGTTTAACTCGGACCTAAGAATCAGTTTGCTCATAACCTTTGCCTAATTTTGGACCTGAAGATCCCGATATACATATGCGATCATGGCATCACTGCATGGGTATGTGTACGTAGTCCTTTTAGAGTCGAGAATTACATGACATTCTCATTAGAGAATTCGTTAAGGATAAACCTACTCTATAGTTGATCGTAGTAAGCCTCTGAAGTATTGAGTTCCTGTGTGTGGGCGTTGAGTTACTAGTTTAATTAAGGTTATTTGTACAACTATCCGGTGCAACTACTGCTGTACACTTGGAAAATCTTATTTATTTATTTATTTGAACACATAAATATTGGTACAAGAGGCTGTGATACTGCTCGGATGCCCAAACCGAAACAGGGGGTTTTCTTAGGGGGCCACACCCCGAGCATTTGACCTAAAGGTCTAACCCACAAGGCAGTGGAGCATCGTGATGAGATGCAGTCCCATGGTAGCCGGTGACCAACGATTGGTTCATACATTTGTTCGTTCAGGATACTAGCCTATAGGCACCATTGGTTTGGGATCCGGTTAAAGCTCCGGACATTCGATCTTCAGCCATCCTGTCTGAGGCTCTGCTTTTCAGTCGTTGCTGAGTGTTATTCCTGATCTTGATTTCCGCTTCCGATTTCCGGCACCATATGTCCCTCAGTACGTCCCGTTTCCCTTTTTTCTTGAGGATTCCATGTTGGGACTTGCTTTTTGATACAGTTTAATTATTTCTGCAGTGTCCTATCCATTACTAGCGTCTTCTAATTTCCTCTCTAACCGGGAGCTGGTTTGTTCACTGGTAGAGTGAGTTATTGCTGATGGTCTCTGGCCGATGGATTTGGGGTATCTCACACAGACGGTTGTTTACGGATACCTTTGCTCTTTTGGTGATGGTGATGACAATTGTCCAAGTTTCGGCTCCATGCAATAGAATTGTTTTAACGTTAGTGTTGAAGATTCTTACTTTGGTAGTGGGTGACGGTTGTTTTGAGTTCCAGATATTCTTCAGTTGCAGGAGTGTTGCCTTTGCAGTACAGACTGGTACGTTTGCATCTGCATCAGATCCTCCTAGTTTGTCGACGATGCTGCCCAAGTAGGTTAAGGCTCCCGCTTCTTCGAAAGCTTTGCCAGTAAGTGTGATTTGACTGGTTCTCAATGTGTCGTGCTTCAGAAGCTTGTTGTTTCCTCTGTGTTGGGGCATGCTACTGCGAAAGCTGCTGGTACGATGTCTGTCTTTGCATTTGTTGCTGTGTTTGCCGTTGAAGGATTAAGTCATTTACAAGATCAGTCACTCAGCTGCGTCCAATGTGTCTGCTGGATTTCGTGTTTTTCTTGCGATGTGGTCTTCATAATCCAGTGAACAATCAGAAGAAAGAGAAAATACGTAATTCGAAAGCTTTGTCTAATACTAGTTTTTATCTGTAGTTGATCTGTAATCTGGTCACCATGCACGACTTTGCAGTTCAGTTCGGTGTTGGGGTTCCATGTAATGATGAAGGTTTTCCTAGGTACTCCTTAATGTCGAAGGAGAATTTACAAGTTTCTATTATCCATACTGTCAGATGGCTTCTCCTAACCACGGAAGTTGATGTATAGAGATGAGTTCCATTTAATTGATTGCTGGACAGTAGTCCGCGTTTTTGCGATTTGGTCGGTATACCATCGATCCTTATAGAGATCTCTAAGTTTGGAATTTACTGAGTCCTTCGTTTGCTTTACTAACATCCTGTTGAAAACTTCGACTGGTACGGACAGTAGCGTGTTCCGTCCGTAGTTCTCCTTTGGTACGTTGATGAAGTATCCCTCTCCAGTCTGTTAGCACTTGTTCTTCATCCCAAATCTTTCTGAAGAGAATGTGGGACATGTTTGCAGCTGCCTCCATATCTGATTGAAGCGCCTCAGCTGGTGTACTGTCTAGTCCAACTATTGCTATGGCATTCCTGAATTGTCTAGTGGCTTTGCTAATTCCTTTGATTGTTGGTGGGGTACCGTTTATAGGAGATATTTGTGTGCTGCCTCGATGTTGACTGTGCCCAGCGGTGCTGGTCTCTTCAGGAGATCTTCAAAGTGCTCTGCCCACCTGTCCGACTGCCGTTGACCCTCAGTGATTGGTTTGCCTTCTTTGTTTTTGACTGGTCGCTCTGGTCTACTATGCTTTTGTGCAAGCTGCTTGGTTGTGGTATCACATAGTTCTCTCATATTTCCCTATCTTGTAGCTTTCTCTGCTATGGTTTCCAGACCTTCTACATGCTTCCGCTAATCAGCTCTAATGCTCTTTCACTAGTTTGTTTGCTTCTGTGTACTCGGCCTGTGCCCTGGTTTATTCTGCTTTTGTTTAGCTATTGTTGATTGCTGTTTTGTTTCTCCTTTGGCGTATCCTGCTCAGACTGTCTACGGAAATCTACTCTTCATACTGATGCTTCTTGTGGGTCAACACCTGAGATGTTGAAATTATTACCTCTCGAATCACTTTGCAGTCGTTGCTTATGGTGGTTTCCGTTTCTTTTAGTAGGTCTTGAAAGGCTTGGCGCTTGTTGCTGACAATTGCTATGCTGATCTCTGAACTTTTTTTCGTCTCAAAGGAAGGCTATACTAGACATTTGTAGTATTCCTTATGTAACTGCACAACGCTTCTTTCGGTTCGGTACCACCATCTGGTGATCTGAATCTATATCAGCTCTCTTTGTTCTTATTTCTTCCGTGGACCTCGCGGATCTTTTATTGAGACAAATGTGATCGATCTGGTTTTTCGTGGTGTGGTCCAGTGAGACCGTGTTAGCTTCAGGTACACATCTGTGGTGGAAAATGACACCGCCTATGACTATGCTGAAGGCATGCAGATCTATCGGTCTCTTGTCATATTCGTTCCTTCCTCCTAGTCCATTTCGTTTCATAATGCGTTCGTATCTGGTGTTGTTCACTCCGACCTTGGTATTTGGGTCCCTCATCAGGATGGTCAGGTGTTTCCCTGATTCTTTCCCTACGATGGACTGCAGCCTCTCATGAAAATGGTGTTTATCATGTTCACTGCTATAATTGGTGGGTACATAGCACAGGATCACATTCGTCGTAATCCTTCCCTTCTTTGTTTTGGAAGGTGCTTTGATGGTCTCGAAACTCTGAGTCTCCCATCCTAGATTTGTTCATTCTATTCTTCTCTTGACAGGATTAGTACAATTCCTTGTGTTTGTGTGTGTGGGAGGGCACTTTCTTTATGACTAGACTTCGGTGACAGTTTTCTCAAGTTAGTGTTTTTTTTCCAGATTGAGTGCAATAAGTTACTCCTATTCTAATCCCGGTCAGTTTGTATTTGTGCATTTCTGTATCTTTTCGATTTCTACCATTGGTCTCCCATATTGTTCGGATATCCGGGGTACCCATATTTACCGTTTTCCTGTTTGTTGGAGGGAGTATGAACTTCATGACTTCTGAAGAATCGTGGCTTTCACCGTGAGACTTTATAACTAATGTATATAAAGACTTATAATGTGAGGCTAGAGTTGGGATGAGTTTTTCTAGTCAATGTTTATATAGTGGTGTTGTTTCTTAAGTGATGGAGCTTGTGACAACCGACAGTAGCCCGGGAATGTTTCTAATCTGAGTACAGGACATACTTCTACGTAATCGAGTTTGCGTTTTCTTTACAACTCTTTGTTTACGTCATGCTAAATTGTGTGGTAATCGGTACTAATGCCTATATATACCTTGCTTGAACTCTTACTTAAACTAATTAGCTGGCAAGTGCAATCATATCACTTAAAATCAATACGATAATTAGCGTAATATACAAATTCATTGCTCTGTTACTATTTCTGCAACTATTCATAGAAGTTAAGCGCATAAAGGTACGTGCAATATCTTCCACATTATTACTATCTACAACACAATCGCGAATGTTTTCACTTATTCAGTTGAAAAAGCAAATCAGTTTATTCTCTTTTCTATATTTTCTCTACTTTTAGCAACACTTACTCATTTTGTGTTTGTTCGTAGATTTTATTGTTGGATTGAAAATATGTTGTCAAGCATAAATCGATGAGTTCTACTAGAACGTTCACTCATGTTAGAAACTTGTACATAAGTGTTGATATTGCTTTTCTCAATAACTGTAAGCACAGCCTGAAATAAACCATAAAGAGTGCACTAAATTTCTAGAATTAGTCATTTCCAAATTGGAACGTCGTTCCAGTGGTTAAAATATCCTATTTTGATCCAATAAATTGTGGGCTTTGAAAGCTACAACTACTTCGGTCTGACCTAATCAGCATTCAATTTCTAACCAATAGGGGGAAGTTTGCCAACCTGTTCCGCCTACTTTGGTTTAAGCATTTAGGTGGTATCACCAGTTCTTACCCAGACACTGCTTTGAAACCACACACTCAGCGAACAAGTTACTTCGATTTGATCAGGATGCACCCAAAACTTTTATTTGTACTTGGTTGGTAAGTTACATTAAGTTTCCTTCCAAAGTTGCCTATTGTTGCTTGTATCTATTATGTAGAATAACTTACTATTGTTTTTCGGTTTCAGCATTAAGATATGCCACTTCCTAAACATACAGTTCAACCGGTCAAACTCAGTCAGGTAGTTGTCCCGAATGGCATCGACAATGAGTTGGAATTTGTGGTTAATTCCACGGTCTGCAATGTCATGAGACAGATAGCATCAGTTAGCCGATTGGCCAACACCATGTTCGAAGAACTCACTACCGATTTTTCTCGACTAGTTGAGCGGACTGTTCGTCTGCAAAATCGTCTGGGAAAACTTCATGAAGATATGCAAACGGCGCGCAGCGGTGACGAAGACCTTACTGCCGGAGTACAAGAAGTTGAGATTCCGGTGTTCTCTAGCAAAAAGCCAACCGATAGCCAGGTAAATTGTTCTACGTTTTCATTTTAGTTAGGTATTAAATCAAAATACCATACCTCCTTCTATGCGGTCACAATATGATCAAGCAGAAGCAGCTCCAGCACTTCAACAAATGGATGAACTCCGAGATGATAAGAAAACTAGCATGAGGTTGTATTCAGATCCCAGCTTTTTCTTTGATTTATGGAGTCAGGAAATGTTACAAGATCGCAAACATAAAAGAGCCGCCAAGAAAAAAGTAATTTTCGCTGACCCATTAATCAATTCTTTTCTTATCTTTTCTATTTGCAACCTATATTTGTAGCTGCATTCGTTGTTGTTTTATCTAGATCATCTAAGCATCTATAGATTATTTCCTTTAAATTACAAAGTTATTAGTACATCTCTGATGTTCTTTTTATGGTTTCAATGATAAACATGCTCTTGCTTTGTGATTACATAGATTTTGTAATTGAAGTATATATCAGTCTCAGTCTCATCTGGTGACTTTTTTGAAAATTAGTGCTAAGCCGACAAATGAGCTTTTGAAATGATGCAATCAGTATCATATGTTTTTGTCTTAAACTCTTCCACTTTATGGTGTTAGTGAATTCTACAATTTCGTTTGACGCTTTTAATCACGTCGCTATAAACTAAACTTTTTGATCAAGTTTTGTCTTTATATCCAACTACATATTCGTTTATTCGATTGTAGGATTCTTGTTTAGTTGTATTCTCTTTTCTTTTCTGTCAGGCAGTAAGAACTGATCGTCTCATTTATTTTAGACCCAATATCCATGTTATAAGGTTGTGTTCCCCTTCAACCTCTGTCTTGCCGTAGTTCTCTTAGTTCTCTTGACTTTTAATGTCACCATACGCTTTCTGCAAACGAATGCTACAGTTAGCACTGAGATTGATCCACAGCATATTCGTTCTTATTCATTGACACATAACCGTTTTTAATTATAAAAAAGTAATGTTTCATTAGGATTCTCGAAGCAGTTTTAAAAGCGATAATACTAAATTCCTCGACTCACTTTCTTGTTATCACTTAAAAATGTATGTTTGCATAGTCAGAAGACCATTTATCACAATCAACTTACAGTAATATAATTCATTCCAATTCACAAGTCTGCATTTGTGTTTCATTCATTTACGATCATATTTTTTCTGTGTCTGCGCTTAGATAAAGAATAGGGGACTGTAAGAAAGTAAAGCTGTTCATGGATATAATCTTTTTGTTCCAGCTTTAGTAATATTTTATACAACCAAATATCCTAATCCTTGAAGCTTGTAACCTGTTTTGTGTAAAATACCTATTTTAGAGACCGAAAGGAAAGGGAAAAGCTGCTCCACTTAAAAGTGGATCTAATCAGGGAGCTCAGAAACCTCAACTTATCATTCAGCAACCAGGAGTTGGCGGCCATAAACTTCCTCCACCGTTATTCGAGCAAAATGGTTCTGTTAATGCCGGTTCTCATATGGATAGAAATGTCAATATTGTCAACTGTAAACCTACCCAGCATCAGTTTCTGAATAATGGGGATTTCGGAAATCCTTCATTACCACCTCCGCCACCTCCACCGAATACTCTTCATTCGTCAATGCAAGTTGATAATGCAAAGGATTTTCGACATGCATCTAATCAAAAGAGTGGTTATTGCCCAATTAAACCTGACATTGATGGTATCAATCAGTTTCCTTCAGTTACCAACAACATTTGTAGCAACCATGACCCTTCACCAGCCCATCAGATGACTCTTCCTGACCCTCCCGCACTCCATACACAGATGGCATCTCTTATTTTACCACCACCACTTCCTCCAGCGTTTTTGAGCGACGGAGAGTCAAAAGTCCCAGGTTGGTTTAAACCGCTTAATATGTGTGTTATTATTCACAATCTGATGCATCGTTTGGATGTTACGTGATAAAGTTTCAATTTAGTATATTTAGTATCGGTCTCTTACATATACATTTAAGTTCGTTCATCCCCTACATCTTTAGCCTAGTATCATTCCTTAATTTTCTTAGTTGCGTTTTTCAAACTACTTTCCTTATTAATGAGTTTATAGGTATCGTTAGCAAGGTCCGAATTTTTCTACTCATTGGGATATTACAAATATATCAATTATTTGTTCCTTCCTTATGTTTATATCACCACTATAGTAGGTATTATTATTCGTTTTCTTAGCTTTTGATTGTGCTTATTTCCTTGTTCCATGTGGCACTTGAAAACCAGTTTAGTAATTTGTTAAATCATATCAGAAGATGCCAGGGAAGTCCTACTCACTGCCTTCTCGTGGCGGGGGTGTTGTTTACGAAAATGAGAGGACGAAAAGCGAATGTCAGGCGCTTTAACCGGATCCCAAACCAATGGTGCACATGGGCTCCAGTATCCTGCGGGAACGAATGGCGCATGAACCAATCGTTGGTCACCGGCTACCATGGGACTGCATCTTTTACGATGCTCCACTGCCTTGTGGGTCAGACCTTTAGGTCGAAGGTTCGGGGTGTGGCCCCCTAAGAAAACCACCTGTTTCGGTTTGGGCACCCGGGCAGCATCACAGCCCTCACACAAATCAATTGAGATTCGTGTGGCGCATATGTATTTGGTGCCTCCTTGTACCAATACCTATGTGTTAAAATAAAATAAATAAAAATAAGTGTGGTGGTTATTCTATGTTCACAGGGTTTATATTTTTCTCTGGCATTCGTTCTGAAGCGTAACGATTTGCAAATATTAGCACTACTGAACATCTAACCTTACTCCATAGATTTTTGAACTTGTTGGCAAGATCTTCAAGAGGAGCTGTTAGAATTTTTTGACAAGCTTCGAGAATGTATCTTTATGGTCATTCATTATTGACACCATTAATCTGACCTCTCGTTTGAACGATCTCATCTTTGCTGTGCAGTTGGTTTGTGGCTTAAATTTTTATCTGATTTTTCGCAGCGCTTCATGTTGGTACGTCTTCGTGAATTCTGTTTCTCTTTGTCTACATATATCTGATTTTTTCATGTTTCTAAATACTTTATTTACGTTTGTGTTGTGCTCTTTTTGTTAGTTTGGATATTTCTAGTTTTTATTTAACTTTTTAGACATGAGCGAAAATTCACATCCGAATGATGAAGCTGCTAGCAGAGACCCCTCTAGAAAAGATGAAGATGGTAGGATATCATCACCCACACAAATGCATGATGGTAAAGAAAAACAGTCTCAGTATATTAATTCTGTAGGTATGGAATCGGTAAGTTTTTTGACCTTCTTGTAGCTGTTTCTTCCATTAGCTCAAAGTTAATTAAAATGCTGCAGTCATTTTTTTACTGTGATTAGAGATAATTCATGTTATACATGCATTAGGCCCCCACATAGATTAATAGTTATTTAACGTGAATGGAAGATGAATCCATCATTAAATTCCTGCTTCGTTTTCGTGTATGATGACTGTAATACTTACTTTACTTTATTGCAAGCGTTTGTGAACTAATATAATCGTAAAGTAGTTTAAGTAGATTAAACCTGTGATCAATTGATTTGAATTTTGTAGTGTACATATACTAAAAGCTAGTTCTTTTTTAGTTCTATAAAATTTCTTAGTCTGTTGTTAACCTGGCTTTGTTCGTACTCCAAATAATTCTCCCATTTTTTACATTGGTGCTTCAGTCATCATCGGCACTACATAATCTTCCTCCACCTCCTCCCGCGCCGATTTTCGAGGCGAAAAACTTCAGTGAGCCTTGTAAACCCAGCAAACAGCTTAGCGAGTCGGATACTTGTGGTCATAAGTCCACTTCTTCGACCCTCCCCCCTCCAGTGACACCTTTTGTTGTTTCGTCACCTCAAACATCTATTTTATGCTCATCTACACAACCTCCACCACCCCCACCTCCACCTCCCTTCATACCAACCCAGAAAGTTGGGTCTGAAAGCCCGAGCAATCAAGCAACTTTATCAACTAAGAACACTATCTCACGATGCAATGTACCTCAGTGTCCTCCTGCAGATTTGCTTTCTGCTATACGCGCTGGCTGTCAGTTACGCAAAGTAGGTGAACGGAATCTTCCCGATCAATCGAAATTTAGCCGTGCAAATAGTTTATCGACTCTGGTGAACAAACCTAAGGATGTTCAAGTTAGTTTCACTGATTTTAAGTTTTTTAAACTTCGCTTGTATGTATCTACTTTTAAATGTACTACATCCCGTCGTTTAAGAGAATTGTTACATTTCAATAATCAAGGTGACTAATGGCTCTTGCTCATTCAAATTACAAAAGTTTGTCTTCTAAAAACTCATTGTTTGTAAATACAGTGGTTGTATTGATCATTTTTGTATAGAATCATAGATTAATATTTCTTCATCGCAATAATCTCGATTACGCCATTTATTTGAATACAAACATTGGTACAAGAGGTCACCAAATACATATGCGCTACATAATAATAGTAAGGCCAGTAGCAGTTATCATTGATTTGTGCGTAGGCTGTGATACTACTGGGGTGCCCAAACCGAAGATGGTTTTCTTAGTGGATCATTTCCTAAGCCTTTGACCTAAATGTCTAGTCCACAAGGCAGTGGAGCAACTTTAGGCGATGCAGTCCTATAGTAGTCGTTGACCAAAAATAGGTTCATACACCGTTTTTCCTTCAGGATCCTGGAGCTCATTTAAACAATTGGTTTAAAATCAGGGATTTTTAGTTCCAGGTGGATCCTCATATCCACTAATCCTGTTAAATCATCGGACCACTCACTTTCCGTCCTCTCAATTTCATAAATAGCACCTCCGCTGCACACATTCAAAAGTTCCATTGCTTTCTCTCTCTGTAAGTAGTTACATTTCTTGATCAAGTTGGTATAGTATTTGCTCGTGGTAACCTATTTCAGAACTGATTAATGCGTAGCTATTATCCTTGTGTTTATTTTGTTTGATTTCTTTAAGTATTTTCCTATTTTTCATGTTTTCATTTTCAGGCGATTTATGAAGCTGTTAGGCGTCGTCGGGAATGTATGGAAAATTCCTCGGAAGATGACGATGACGACAAAGATGCAGATAGTAATTCTTCCGGTTGGGAGGACTAGCTCTTGTCTATCGTAACGGAAAAATGTATTAAGCTATGTATCAGTTCCGTTTTTATCTTCTGCCAGTAACACGTTTTTTCAACACAATACCAATCTTTGTATACTTACATTTCTACTTATGTCTTTCTATAACTTCTGGTTTTGCTTTGTTCATGTTCTCAACTTTTTCTTCTATTATTATTTATTAGCTGTATATAAATGTACAATTCCGTTCACATAGGTATATACTTATATGTCTTCATTAATGCATGACGTTTTCTCTGATTACTTTGCTTCAATAATTTGAGGTAAGTTAAAGTTTGACAGACCACAATTAAATTTTTGTGTTTTTCTGATAATCTAGAGGTTCTGTTACGAAGACCACTTCAATGAATTGTTACGTATTGATTTCGCAAATTGTTAACCTTTTGAAATTTTGTTTTGTTAACGATTATCGATGGAATAATATATTAAAATCCCTTTCTTTTGTTTTAGAAGTACTACTATGATTGCTCAAATCTCACTAAAAAATAGTTCAGTTATGATTTTATAGGTAGCTGCTAGTCATTATTAATCTAACAATACTTAAGATCAAAAAATACATTAGACTAACTTATTAATAATTTGTATCCAATGTCATATTGATTGTTTTATTATATGTACAATTTCAGGGCTGATTTCATTGTACTCATTTCCTAACCCTTTTGAGACGAAAATCAAGTTCAATTTTATGTGTCTGGTTATCATGTAGTCAAAATATTATTCCCCTTTTAACGAGTAGTTTTTCTTTCTGCTGTTCTTTGTCCCTTTGATGAATAACTATGCTCATTTATTTTTTATGTTCCGGTGATTGCGATCGATGCGACTTTACTTCTCGCTTTAATTGTAGTTGAACGGAATACCATCGTTTTACCAAAACATTTGTATGCATATTTTTTCGTTAGTTTCAGTTGCTTTAATGATGTTCAACGCATACAAGTATAGGTGTCATTATTTACTAAAAATCTTATTTACAATCATCTTCCAGAATTTTACTACTTTTAAGTAGGGTTTATGGTCCGTAATGATAATCTGTTTGCCTCTCAATAATAATTCCCCCTACTGAGTTTTTAACCTAGATATTGCTAGAGTGATTTTTACAGCTTTTTTTCGAATTAAATATAGACTATGGCTATATGGTCTTTTCTCCATTTAGTCATAGACTATCTATAACCTTCAATTTTTTTTTCAGTTGAATCGTTTCTGTAAGGTATATGTTGATCCCATGTCGTTAACTTGTTTTACGTTGCGATAGACCTGTGCATCTATTTGCTGACTAGTGTGAACACGAAAATACTCGTCATAATACGTAGAATTGTTTCTGGTGGTTACTATTCAATGAAATTTGTCTTGCTTCAATAGTTTCTTCAAAATATCCCTTTAGACCTTTTGCTTTGCATATTTATATCATGTCATTTCATGTATCCCAGTACTTTAATACATCTGACTTTGATTTTTGAAATTAGATGTGCTTTATTACTGATCTGTTAACAATATAAACGAAATCGTGCATGCGTTTAGTCTTCCACTGACGAATCGTTTTATTTAGCTGATAATATCATAAGATTTGGATCAATTATTTGCGAACTATTTTGTGGGTTAATTTGCTCTAAATAATCAATAAAATAACAGCTACTCATGTAGCATATTATGTTAGTAAATTATATGCAAAGGAATTAAGTACAACTACTTAAAACGTTTTCAATTTATGACATGCGAAAAGAAATAAGGCAACCTACATACCTAGTTTCCCCAGTTTATCAAAACCGTTAATCCGAAAAAATTCCGTCCACAAAACAGTCAGGTTACTGCACTTCCCAAGCCCAGTATAAAAAATGGCTGAGAGAAGGGTTACCATGAAACAACACCACTATAAAAACAGAGGTTTGCAAATTATTCAAATTATTGCACTATCAATACTTAATCTCACAATATGAGTTTCCTAATTCTTGTGGTGTGAACTTCCCGTCTAAATATTAGGCTAGTTCTCTTGATCAATGATTACTATGTTGGATTATTGTTCTAATTTGTGTCTGTTAAAACTTACTGTTTACGAAATTTGTTCACCTATCACGATAAGTATATGACTTTTTAAGCAGCTCGTGCACTTCATTTATCTTCCGTTTGTAATCCATAAAGCTCGCAGATTGTTACGAACGCTAAAGCCTTGGCAAGTACGTGTGCTTACTGATATGACGCTCAAGAGTTACATCTAACCATGAAGTCTTCATTGATTGAAAGGTAGTGGTGTACAAACTGATTTCCTCTAATCTTCTACAACAATGCCGTTTTATTTCATAACAAACTGCCTTTCTGACCAGCAGTCTTGTCTTTTATCCCAAATCTATGAACTTCCATCTACCTTTCTGTCAGCGTCCTGTTTTATTTTAACAACTAGAACAGTGAAATCATTATGCATTCATTTGTGTTCAAATGCATTTGTATAGATCGTCTAAAAATAAGAGAAGTTATAATCACTTGTTTATGGAATTAGAATCTGCTAAGTATCGTTATCAGCAGCATGTGTGTCAATGGTACAAATAAATTTAAGGTTGTTGGAAAGTTCAATTATTTAAATAACTAGATGACACTTTTAGCACATGTTAATAATAAATTTTAGTTATTAGTTCCTGAATTCTAGGCTACAGATATTTCATTTTTCCAGTAGATAAGTTTGCTGGTTGTACTAGAAATGCTCTAGGAATGCATACCGCATCTCATAAGAAAATGCAATATAATAATCTCGTATCCTATGTAAATATTTAGGGTAATTAGCAACCATCAAATAATTTAGTAGTTGCTCAGACAAATATTTTGTTTTTCCCTACGGTGCTTAATTTCTGTGCAAAATGAACTAATTCTCGATATCATATTTCGTAAAAAGTAATGAGTGCTATTTGTTACTGCATACATTTGACAAAAAGGATTATTTAATTTGAATTTCTAAAAACATCTGTTAGGTAGATTCTATTGATTCAAAAATCCCCATATGGTGTTTGAAAAAAATTGAATGTTGAAGCGGACAATTGTTTAGCATAATTTTGTCATCAGGTTCGACTGTTGTGTCCACATTTATTGTATTACACAGGCTAAAATAAAGCATGCATAAATGAGTTAGACAATGTTGTATATTAGAGTAGTGAACGTTTGTATTGACTTAAATGCGTCAAAACTGTAATCGTTAGATTGGTAAGGTTATTTGAATGTGGTAAGGAAAATTCGTTATCCTTTTTTTAGCCAATATCCAACTGTGTTTATAAAATCATTATCGAGTTCCAATCAATACAATCAAACAAATAATGTAAATAAAATACAATAGGCGAAATGTTATGTCCGATTACTTGAGAGTTATAGTAAAATCATGTGCATATAATATATTTTAAGAGATTTGTTGTCAGGGCAATTATTATGAGAAATTAATGCGAATTGAGAAAGTTGAGTACGTAAATTATAGGTGGGGGGATGAGAGAGATAAACATGATTATAAATGGAAGACTGAGGGGTTATGTTTTACAATATCTGCCTTAAGAATGTATTGATCGAGTTATGAGGCGTAGTAAACACAGAGTTTAGACACCTATTTCAGATACACAAGGGTTGATTCTAATAGATTCTGCTATGCAGAAGAATCGTAATCTTACTCTTTTAGGTAGATTGAGACGTGATAAAGAACCGATGAGACTGTCTTTTATCTACCATGTGATAGGTTTCGTCACGTCTATTGAGAAGCTGCTCTCTTATTCGTTTGGTCAGTGTGTGATTTTGAACTGTGGTTTGAGTTATTTATCTGCTTTAAAATTTTTCGACAATTACTACTACATGAGTTGACAAAAAAGTAAAGCCCAACTAATGGTGAAGAAATATTTCGAACTGGAAGACTGGGTATAGATTACATCCTATATTTCATATTCTGGGTGGGGGAAGGTTGTTACTTGCTTACTATATGACTAGTCATTTAGAACTTTTTTCATAAGAATATTCAGATGGTGTTTGTGTGTCGTTCATTTACGTTATTTCCTTTCAAGAATATAAATCGTTTACAAGAATTACACTTACATTATGCTCTTTGAGAAATCAACTTTTTATAACGGCAACATATCAAGTATTTTGAAGTTAGATTTTGCATTCTTATTGACAGGAAATTTTCTTGTTACCTATAACCTCAAAATGTTTACCCGGCAAGGGTTGAACTGATCGCCGGAACACTAATATATTACTTGAAATCGTGTCATTACACTGAACGTGTTAGCATAATTAAAGGATTATGGTTTGGTGGGAAGTGACCAAATTGATAAGAGTGCGAATGACATACGAAATCGATTTTTTTCAATCGTCTAAGTGAGTAATTATATAACCTTGTCAATTAGTTATATTAGTTGGTTGTAGAAACGTAATTGTGTGGTATTGTAAGTGTCTATTGTCATTATGAGTTAATAATTATTTCGATTGAGATCATGAACCGATTGATGTTAGACCACCATTGAAAACCTGGAAGATCTGGACGGCCGTTTCGTCCTATTGTGGGACTCTTCAACAGTCATTGTATTCAAATCTGACTAAACAAATCATATATAAAGTGGTGTATTCATGTACCATTTTGATTTTGAGAGTTTAGTAAATCCGTATTATATTCACGCTCTTACGTCTTCCGTTTCATAGTTTCCCAGTGTCAAGTACCAAGTATATTAAGTATCGCGTGGACATATTCATTAATTTTCACACATTTGTTGATTTCAAAGCTGGCTTCATCAGAGATAATGGAAAACAAATTAAAACTAACATTGAATCAATAACAATATTACCGTTGACAAAGTAGTGATGAAGTCGACTTTCAGATTGTCATATCGACAGTGAGGTGAATTATGTGTAAATAATGAATTTTATGGATACAATTAAACGAATTACCTACTAATACTAGAATGGTGCATAGTCTGCAAGGATTCAATTTTTAAAGGTGTGAAGTCGCATTTTGGTGTATCATT